GACACCGCGCGCGGCGCGCGCGCGCGGCACACGCAAAAGAGAGAGAGACGTGGATGTTACTACACGGAGCAAGCTGTAACGTTAGTAACTCCCGCGGCCTTCCAACACGCGTAGCACGCGACGAAATGCCAACGTCGCCCCGAATGTTGGTTGGTGTCCCCACTCTTACTGCGTCACGTGAGTGGCCCGACATCACGCTCTGGTCATCGTTTACTGCGTGTCACATTGGCTTACTACGCGTTTTAGCGGTTGGACATTGGTAGTGTCACACATTTATCTGTGTCGCGTTCTTTGATATTTGTAGGCGTGCGCATTTACTCTGTCACTGGGAAGGAATATATGAGTTACATTTATTGTGACACCTTTGAACACTTTAATGTTACCATTTAACTGTTTTACATAAAGGTCACATATTGTCAGCATTTTTATGTGTCGCGTGTTGGATATCGCTAGTTCGTCGCATTTTGCGTGTCATGTGTGATAGACGAATAACGTCTGCAAATATTTTTCACACATCATTCCCCGACCAGTTATAATTTTTTATGTGTTGGGGTGGGTGGTGATTCCCTGCCCCCTCTGGCGCCACCTCTGCGCAGGGGGAAGTGTATTAACCAGCACTGGGGAACCCCTTCCTTTTCCACACAATTAAATTGGGTACGCTTGCTCACCACCACCATCGAGTTATCCCGTTCTCATCTCTCGATACGAAATATGAGGAAGTTTGTTTACACCCATCGGGGTACCGTGCAATTTCCAATCCCTCCACTAGCATAATGGGAACATTGATATTTTTAGACACAGGGGTAAATCGGGGAGGATGCTGACTACATATGTACACAGGTGCTGTATATTACTATATATGTAGTTATATGTTTTACAGGTAAGGGATGCTACTATATATGTATTATATATGTAATTACATGTGTTACAGTTGAGGGATGCTACTATATATGTATTATATATGTAATTACATGTGTTACAAGTGCTGGATGCTACTATATAGGTATTATATATGTATATTTACATGTGTTACAGGTGAGGGATGTGTCATACCCTACAGTGCTGTGCATCGTAAGCCCAGGTCGTTGAAATCTGTCAAACAAGAGGTGTGGATACCAGGTGTGTCAATCAACGTGAGTGTAGTGGAGGCCTACAGACAGCAAACCAAGGATGCTCTCAACCCTAACATGTAAGAGCATAGAAGTACGAATGTGTCTGCTATCTGTGTTCGTGCGTGCGCGTGCGTGCATGGCAGTACGCGCGTGTGTATATCTGTGTATTTATGTGTCTGCTAGCTGCGTATATGCGTGCGTGCGCGTGTGCGTGCATCCGTGCGCGTTTGCGTGTGTACGTGGTTGCATGTGTATGCGTGTGCGTGCGTACATACGTGTGTCCGTGCATACGATTGTGCGTGTGTGCGTGCGTGCGTGCGTGTACGTACGTGTGTGTGCGTACGTGCGTGCGTGCGTGCGTGCGTGCGTGCGTGCCATGTGTGTCGTTGTGTTGTGTGTGGTGTATATATGTGTGTGTGTGTTGTGTGTGTGTGTGTGTGTGTGTTGTGTGTGTGTGTGTGTGTGTGTGTGGTGTGTACTGTTGTGGTGTGGGTGTTGTGTGTGTAGTGGTCTGTTATCATATATGTGTGTGTGTGTGTGTGTGTGTGTGTGATGTGTGTGTGTGTGTGTGTGTGTGTTGGTGTGTGTGCTGTGTGTGTGTGTGTGTGTGTGTGTGTGTGTGTGCGTGCGTGCATTACATTGTGTGCGTGTGTGCTATGACGCTTCCGCCGTTGCTGTGGCAGCCTATGTCGTCGCTGGAGCATCGGCGGCTACAAGTGGGAGATCGCGACGAGCTACATAGCACTTCCAGAGGCCTCCACACCACCTCACGTTCTCCCGCGGCGAGCTCAGTGTTCAGCACCCCACTCTCCACGCAGCAGAGGCATCAGACGAGGCTCTGCCCAGCTTCCCGGTCATGAACGACAGCGTGACAGGGCCCCCCCGGCCACCCCCTCCCCCACCCCCGACCGGCGCCCGCCCCCCCCCCCGCACATACCTGCACCCCCCCCCCCCCCCCACCGCCACCCGCCCACCCCCCCCGCCTACCCACCCCCCCCCCCCCCCCCCCCCCCCCCCCCCCCCCTCCCCACCCCCCCCCCCCCCCCCCCCCCCCCCCCCACCCCCCCCCCCCCACCCCCCCCCCCCCCCCCCCCCCCCCCCCCCCCCCCCCCCCCCCCCCCCCCCCCCCCCCCACCCCCCCCCCCCCCCCCCCCCCCCCACCCCCCCCCCCCCCCCCCCCCCCCCCCCCCCCCCCCCCACCCCGCCCCCCCCCACCCCCCCCCCCCCCCCCCCCCCCCCCCCCCCCCCCCACACCCCCCCCACCCCCCCCCCCCACCCACCCCCACCACGCCCCACACCCCCACCCCCCCACCTAGCACGCCCCCACCACCCCCCCCCCCCCCCACACGCCCTCCCACCGTCCCCCCAATCAGCCCCCCCCTCCCCCCCTCTGCTGCTTTTCAGAGCAGACTCGACGCCGGTGAGCATACGCGGGCTAAACGTGGGATTGCTTAGAGAAAGAGATCTTGTGATTTAGGTAGCTTTCGGTAACACGGTTTGGGTAAATAACCTTCGTCCACCGATGATTGAGAGGGCCTCTGGTAGAAGTTTAACTTCCGCACACTTCCCGCCGCTTTACCACATACAAACCAACACAACCGCGCACAGACCATCTATGCGTCATCAATCATCCATGCAACCGATCAATACGTAATCACATTATCATCATCATCATCATCATCATCATCACTACCACCACCAATCGCCGCCACCGCCACCGCCGCCATCAACAACAAAAACAACAATAATAACCACAATAATAATAATTATTATTATTATAATAATAACAACAACAAAACAACAAAAAACAACAACAACAACAACAACAACAACAACAGCAGCAGCAGCAGCAAGTAGACAATTCAACAACAAATAGATAATTCAAAAGTTCCTTTGAAGTTCCTACCACTTTTCGCGCGAATCATCATATCTTTGCTGGTCTCACTAACTGACGTTGATATGTGTTTGGCGACAGTTGGAGTTCTTGGAGGTGAGCTACCTGTCGTTCATTGCTGGTCTGGGAGCTAAGCTGAAGGAGGGACACGTGAGGAAGTCAGGCAGGAGGACATCCGTGCACCGACATGCGCCTCAACATCAAAGCTTGTGTCCGCAGTGCGCGAGAGGTACGCATGTGTGTGTGTGTGGTGTGTGTGTGTGTGTGCGTGTGCGTGTGTGCGTGTGTGCGGTGTGTGCTGTGTGCGTAGCGCTTGTGCGGTGTGCGTGTGTGCGTTGCGTGCTGTGTGTGTGTGTGGTGTGTGTGTGTGTGGTGTGTGTGGGTGTGGTGTGTGCGTCTGTGTGTGTGTGTGTGTGGTGGGGGGGGGGGGGGTATGTGTGTGCGTGTGTGCGTGTGGCGTGTGTGCGTTGTGTGGCGTGTGGGCTGGTGCGCGTGCGCGCCGTGTGTGTGTGTGTGTGTTGTGGTGGGGGGGGGGGGTATGTGTGTGCGTGTGTGCGTGTGTGCGTGTGGGCGTTGTGGCGTGTGTGGCGTGTGCAGCCGTGCGCTGCCGTGTGTGTGTGTGTGTGTGGTGGTGATCGTGCGTGTGCGTGTGTGGTGTGTGCGCGTGTGTGTGTGCGTTCGTGTGTGTGTGGTGCATGTGAGTGTGTGTGTGTGTGTGTAGTGTGTGTGTGTGTGTGTGTGTGTGTTCATGTGTGTGTGTGTGTGTAGTGTACGTGTGTGTGTCTGAGTTGTGGTAGCGTGTTGTGGCGTGTGTGTGTGTGTGTTTGTTGTATGTGTTTGTGTGTGTCGTGTGTGTTTGTATGTGTTTGTTGTGTGTGTGTGTGTGCATGTGTCGTTGGTGTGTGGCGCGCGCGCGCCGCGCCGCGAGTGGTGTGTGTGTGTGTGTGTGTGTGTGTGTGTGTGTGAGTGTGTGTATATGTGTGATAGTGTGTGTGTGTGTGTGTGTGTGTGTGTGTGTGTGTGTGTGTGTGTGCGTGTGTGGTTGCGTGCATGCGTGTGTGGGTGTTGGTGTGTGTGTGCGTGCGTGCGTGCGTGCGTGCGTGCGCATGTGTGTATGTGTGTGCGCGCGTGTGTGTGTGTGCGTGAGTACATGCGTGCGCGTGCGAGGGGCGGTGTGCGTGCGTGCGTGCGCATGTATGTATGTGTGTGTGTGCGTGAGTACATGCGTGCGCGTGCGAGGGGCGGTGCGCGTGCGTACGCGGGTCCCGCGGGTACGGGTGCGTGTAAGCGAGTGAAGTATGACTGTCCCTGTTCGCACGAGCAATAACAGCTAAGCAACTGTGCGCAGCTTCGTAGGCGTTGACTGAGCCACTTTCCCGTTGTTATGATTTTCGCCACTTTGACTCAAGTGAGACTGTTCAGTGGCAACCCTGGTCTATTCAGAACGCTGCCCTCAAACGGCTTTAAGATGTTGGGAGGAACCGTTTACTTGTCATACCAGAATGTGAGAACAGCACATGGGGGTCAGCATACATTGGTTCAGAACAGCAGGCAGCAATTTATAAGGCGGTGGGAAACACACACAAAATTCTGGTTTTCCTCGATAGTTTAGCTGGGTTTTGCATGCGCTAGTATGCCCCCCCCCCCTGTTTATTACTTTGTTTCATTCCTATTCTTTCCTTCTATTATACCGCCACAAATTCAGCGCGCGTAGATATTAATTAGTACACGCGCGTAGATATAGGGACCTTCTATGCACAATCTTTTACACGCGTACTCCTCCTGTATACTGTTTGCATGGTAGGAATTCATGTCTCAGTTTGTGTGGTCATGATTCAAAGTTGGTTTCTTTCGTTCAGCAATTTATGGTCATTTCTCATTACTTCTCTTACTAAGATGGTTTGTGCTAAAAGACACGTACGTGGCTTACATTCGACCAGAAGATGGCGCTGTGTGTCACGTCCAGCTCATGGATAATGGATTTCAAGTACATAGCGGTCAGGCAGAGACGAACGTCAAGCACGGCATCAAGATATGCAGCTTGTCAAGGTATACGTACCTGTGCGCTCTCATTACAGTAACTCACATTTGTCACGCATGCAAGTGGCGAAATCCTACAAACTATAACAGTATAACAAAAATTACAGTTCTGAAATATGTAAACCATGATTGCACAACATGGTGGTGGGACAAATGTTAGAAGAACGTACCGAAGACTACCACAAGTCGAAACTAGTCGTACATGGCCAGCTTTGTATAGCATTTCATCTCCAGAAACTTTGCACAATATGGCATCCAAGAATATATGCATATTGAACCCACGGGGGTAGCACAGTGGAGGTGTGGCCTGTGGAGGCCATCCAGACCTCTTCTTCCCAAATGCTGGTGGAACCAACCGTATTCGATCCATGGAGGGACACGGAGCAGTTGATGTTAATCAACAGGTTTGCATTGCAGGGAGCTGCTGGTGCAGTGTTGGACGAAGCGTAAGATGAAGGAATGGTGCGCAGACATCAAGCGTGCGATGGAAACATCCGGCAAGGACTTCATACAGACTAACAGATTCGGATCGTTCGCTCCCGTCAGACCCGAGTCCTGGTGCAGATGGTAAGTGGACTTCCTGGCTTCCTAGACTACGACCCTGATACATAAATCGTCATCGCCGCCGCCTTCGCTGTTGCCATCATTGTCATCCTATACCTAAACCTAACCAGCCTAACTGCCAATTGTCAATTCAATCAAATCTAACCCGCTAATCTAACCACAATCGTATTATCATTCTAAGCCCATCATTACAATCAGGTGTCTTGATGTAGCATTAAACTGGGAGATCATGGAAAGAAAAAGAATTAAGAAGAAGAAGAAGAAGAAGAAGAAGAAGCAGCAGCAACAGATATGCGAGTATGCATGCACTATAGCTGTTCTCTTACACCGTGTTCATCTGCTGCTAGGTTTGTGGACGGAGCAGGCTACTTTGACGCAGTGGCTTCGGCGATCGCTGAAGCAAAGGAGGAGATATTCATCACAGACTGGTGGCTGAGTCCTGAGATCTACCTGAAGCGACCGGCTACACAGTGCGGCAGCTGGCGTCTCGATCTGCTACTAAAACGCAAAGCTGTACGTTTATATATATTATGTCCCTTATTAAACCTGCTAGCTGAATGCAACACTAAGACCTGAAAGCTGGCTTTTATAAATGCCAATTTCATAAACCTGTGCATGTCCTAACGTTATGTGCATGACCTCATGGTGCCCTCTATTCCATTGCAGGATGAAGGAGTAAAGGTATTTGTCCTGCTATATAAGGAGGTAGAAGGTTGCCCTGGGCATCAAGTCAGCCTACACGCAAGAATTTCCCTCAGCACAGAAGACACCGAGACAAACATAATGGGTAGGGTGGTGCCGGCCACTCGAGTCATTGCTAAAAGCAGAGTAGTCGCATACAGTCTTGTGTTGTGATGCGCGTGTTTTGCATGTGGCGGGAGCTTGCAATCTGTATGTGTGACATGAGCAGTGCCTGCGTCTCAGCCTGACGCACGCCCTCGCGGACGGGAACCTTGCTCTGTGGGTCACCGACGAGAAGCTGGTGATATAGATCAAGCGATCGCCTTCGTCGGGACTGGACATGTGGCTACGCGCGCGGGGACGAGCAACAAGCACAGGTAATACACAGCTGAACGTAGCCGTGTGAGACAAAACATCCATCTATAGACCCCTATGCATGATATCATATCATCTCGTTATCTCTTTCTCTTACGAGGTCTCGCATACATTACCACTGCTTAGAGGTAAGGTAACAGATACAACAGTTTCAGACAACACAATCATTGGTGAGTAGCAATGCAACTGCCTTGTCGTATAGAAGGCAAACTAAATAGGAAAGGTTATGCATATAAACAGAGTAAAGGCAAATCAACAGTATAAAATGAGCCATGGCTCAGAAGTAATACATTTACAGAACAAATCAACTATATGTATACTATAATAACAACGTATAATGTAACTGCATGTTGTTTGTCTGTGTCCACAGACTGACCGATCTGGAGAGGGTCCACTACTGCCTGCTGGCATACAGTCTGCCTGCAGGAGTCAGGTATGGCTGACCTTGTTGGTGAGGCTGACAGGTGTACACATGAACCTGGCAACGATCCAGCTACCAACACAGGTACACTCAGTTACATGCACGCACACACGCGCATTTTTTTAATACGAGTATATTTTCATCTATATATCTTCTATATATCTTATTATTTACGTCTTATACTTTATATATGTGTGTGTGTGCGTGCGTGCGTGCGTGCGTGCGTGCGTGCGTGCGTGCGTGTGGTGTGGAGAGAGAGAGAGAGAGAGGAGAGAGAAATAGAGAGAAGCGAAGAAGCAAGGAATTACAGAGGCAGAGACAGAACTAGTGACAGTGAGCATGTGTTTATATCGGCTATGATTGCCTAACTATATCTTGTAGGGAACAGCTGTGAGACAATTAACACTGATCCAGAGTCAAGCCACGAGATTGCCAGCTCCAGTGGTAGCCCAGCCGCCAGCAGTGATTCCGAAACACTGAGCACTAGGAATAAGGATGCCAGGGCTCCAAAGATTACCAAACCAGAGACACTATATGGCACTTGGGCAAGTTTCTATGGCAACCATCATTCACCCTCTAGTCAGTTCCACGTAACCATCAAGACACGTATCATTACAGAAATAAAATACGTATTGTATGTATTCGTATGAGAATGTCATCAATTCGGGTTGTCCTATATTATTACACTGCTAACAAAACTTACTCGCAGATTGCTTGCATTTCAAATCGCATAATGTTTCATGGGTTCCCATCGGCTGCCTGTTTCTGATGGTATTGTAAAAGCGTTCGAGTCATCTTGATGTCGCATGGGTAACAGCGTTTGCTCCGCGAGCAGCTGAGAGGCAAAGACAGAGAATGCGAGAAGCTTCGAGCACGATCTCTGGAAGCCGGCCGGTTTCCTGTGAAGGAACAGTACGTATCATCACCACCACGGGGAGCCACGTGTGTGCTGCACAGCGACGACATACAGCATATAATCATGATAAATACTTGTATCATTCAGTAACACCAGGAGTGTCATAGTATAGACACACACACACACACACACACACACACCTATATTATGACACTCCTGGTAACATGAAGCGCTCATAATCATGCAGTGTAATTCTGGAGAGTGCGGCGATGCAATATTAGGTTTTCTAATGCTAAGCCGACACTATCCGGATCGCCGAGTGCGATTTGAGGCTTACGATGATCGAGATGTATCTAGTTTGGCTTGCGGGAGGCTTAAGATTGGCTGGGAGGTCAATTTGGCCGGCGATTCGATTTTGAATGCGGGAGCAGATCGGGGTTCGGATAGTGTGGCGACGCGACCTATACGAACGAGCCGGATACGTGCTCGGCATCAGTGTGCCCATGCCTGAGGATCAACGACGCTGGAGAAAATTGACCACTCACAGAGCTGCGGCAATGGGACACCGCATTTGAAATGCGAAATGGCATCAAGCGCCATGGGAAAGCACTCCCGATGCCTTAGTGAACACGCTAAATCGCGCTTGAACGCCACGAGAGTGCGCCATGGTTGCGTCCACGTTAGAGCGGACAGTGGGCGGTGGCCTGCCGATCTGAGGTCGCGATCGGGTCGGATAGTGTGGGCGGGGGCGGTTCGATGCTGTGGCACAGGCAAAAAAAACGGATAGAGTGTGGCGGCTAGGCAAAGTCTGTTTACATGGTGTGAAATAGTTCTTCATTGATGCAGATAACAAACATCTATTATATAATCAATCGATTCATATTGTGACTTGTTGGCTCTCACCAAATAGAACCGCACCGCGACTGTGCCAAAGGCGTTCTCCTGTGGACACTAAACCGACAAGCGCGCGTGGTCGGCAAGGATTTATCCAACTTCATTTTCCAGAGCGTGACCAAATCTGATGCCGGCCTTCTCAGGTACCCCCCATAGAGGAGTAGAGTAAGAAAAGAGAGAGAGAGAAGGGAAGGAAAGAGAGAAATTTATAGAAGAGAAGAAATTGAGAACGATAACACAACATGCTGCCATTGTATACCATAAGAGGTCGTTCTTGTGTTTGAATTACCAGATTGACCGTAAAAGAAGTGACCCGTGCGGATGCCCGTGGCAAAGAGCATCGGGATCGTGTTTACGGCGGCCCAGCCGCGCCGGACCTCGTTCGTCACTTCTTTGTAACAGAGCGTTGGAACCATGCCAAAGTGAAGGCGTCTGGCTAGCGAATTGAAAACGCTTGTAATCTCGAGTTTTACCAGAAAGTAGCAAATTATAACCTACTTTTTTGTCGTACATCCAGTAGTGCCAGTGCATAGAACTTCATCGTCGTTGAAGAGCCAACGTGTCCTGAAGTGTGAAATATAAAAAGTCGGGGAGAACGGCATAATGTAGGCACAACTCGTGCATCAGAAAGACCGTGTTAACGCAGTTTGCTCAGATAATAGGTTGTAACCCTTAAGCCCTGGTCAGCAACAGAAAGCCACGACGCATTGTGCAACGGACACGACAGACAACATTTTGGCAAATCGTGGTCATGCGGGGTTCGTCCGGCAGAGACAGTCCTAGGCGAAATTTGAGCATCGATGCAATCGAACTTCCGCGTACGTGCAGCAAAATTCGAAAACTGCCTTTTTTGTTGCACGATTGCTTTAGTGCGTATCTAGTCTTTCTGGTTGTCGTGGAGTACTGTCCTAACAACAGTTTGCGACAGTCTTGCGACTGCGTGCGCTAAATAGCTTGTCGTGGTACGCAAGAAGAAATTTTTTAGTCAAACAATGCTTACGATATCGCACGACTGTCCTACACACTGTCTCACCGCTGTCGCAGAACAGTCGTGGACAGTTGCAAGATTGGTCCACGATATATATTTTCGGTAAGAGGCTCGCAACAGACATTGCAAGTCTGCGTGCGTTAGTCCTTGGCCGTTAGTCTTGGCACACATATTTTCGTGTTTTTTGAGGGGTATATAGCTCGGCGAAGAACAGCTTGGATTAAAACTGCCTGTCGCGCGAAAGGAGATGGCGCTATTCCGACCTGAGCGACTACGCGTGGCCTGCTGAGGGGCGTGCTGAGGAAGCCCAGCACGAGCATAAATATAGTTCTGTTGGCGTTGATCCCGGGCCCGGGAGCGAGCGCAGGAACCGGCGAAACGCCCTGACGTTGGTGGGTCGGCTCAGTGATCGAGCGTCGCTTTGATGTTGGGAGCCAGTATGAGTACTCTGATGGCAGAGAGTTGAGGGCGGGTGACTTCGTGGGTTCGTGCAGCTGGAGTCTGGCATGTTTGGCACGAGCTTGTTGCTGAGTGTCGGCCGCCTCGCATCAGCCAGAAGGGCCAACTTGCTAGGCTTAGCCACGCATTTCTCTTGTTGGCGTGTTCTTCTTGAAGCAATCCTGGATCACTACTTGATTAATGAATGACAATTATGCGTAAAAAGTCGGGCAGAACTTCGTGTATCCACTTGATATAATCTTCTGGCAGCAAAGGCAGCAACAGACCGGGCAGCTCGTTATATAAGTCGGAAGACGGGACGCGGCGAGTGACCCACGAGTGACACGTGCCACAAGTGACGCTCACGACGATGACCGCAGCGTATGCCACACTTGGGCGCCAGTCGGCACGACTGTAGCACGTGCATGCCAGCAGAAGTGAACCACCGGACGCTGTTCATGTGAAAAACAGGTCCCCCGACAATGCCCGACAACTCACGACTGACGCACGACTGACTTGCGACACACCCACGACATAACCACGACATATCTTTTTTTTTCTGTCGCGTCCCCATCGCCAAACCATCTTTGATGTGTCGTAGCCCTTGTGACCACTCGAAATACATTTCGGGCATGTTGCAAGATCTGGCCACGACAAATATTTTATGGGTCCACCACGACAAAATTTCGTACGATCCGTTGTGACCGGGGCTTTAGCAACGAAGCTTGCAGTCTATAATATCAAAGTTTATAGAAGTATTCTCCACAATTGTCATATTCTTATTTTTTTCCCATTTAAGTTATTATGTGTCTATGCGTTATTTTCTTTATATATCCTTTGTTAGCCGACACCTCTTACAAAATGGCCACCTGTCTATAAAGGACGCATTTGGTCAAAAGCTATTTACATTATTATTAGCTCTTGATTTGGTGCATTTGTAGTGGGTTGACTTGTACTACGCTAACAATATAATATGCCAATGCTAATATATGATGCTGATATATGTACAGACAGAAAAGGCAAAGTTTGACGACTATTTTCCACTCCTTTTGCCGAAATCTTACGACAACATCACGATTCTACCCGAGTGGAAATGCAATGCTATCAATTGCCAAGTCCAGGTAAAGGCTGTTTACCCACAACAGTGTTGATACAATTAATCGAAATAGATATATACCGAGATGAATATCTAAAAGGTATATATATCTATTTCTATGGTTGATACTAAGTGGCCACTAGAGGGCAGTAGTAACAGTATAGGTACCCTGAACATCATCGCTGTGAAGGACAGTAGCGAGAGTATAGATACCTTAGCTATATCCATCAATGTGTTGCTGGTAGTGACCAGCAGGGGGCAGTAAGGTAGCAGTATAGATACCATATATATAGTCTATCATGGTGTTACTGGTAATGACCAGTGCAGATGGTAGAAGAGCAGCAGTATAGTTACTCTGATCATCATCATGTTGTTGTTGTTCTAGGCTCTGCGCAGTGTGAGTAACTGGTCCATTGGTATAAAGAAAACTGAGGATTCCATCCACCAGGCTTATCTGACAGCCATCAGAGAATCTAAATACTTCATCTACATAGAGGTAACTAACGCTATAGCAGTGCCTGTCTGTCTATCCACCTATCAGTTATACATTCTGCCTTTATATTGTTTTATTTTTAATGTATGCACGGCGGCTTCTGCCCTTGTTCATTTCTATCTTTATACCATATTTCTCATTAGATCTCTTTATTATCTCTGGCAATCTCTCTCTCTCTCTCTCTCTCTCTCTCTCTCTCTCTCTCTCTCTCTCTCTCTCTCTC